CTCTAGAAAATTATTTGTCGATGGGTCGAAACTAATAAAATGGTTAAAAATCATGGGTTACAGATTATAAATTTGTGGATTTTGGCCTATAGAAAATTATTTGCCAACGGGTAGAAATCGCTAAAAATGGCAAAAAAAATATGAGTTATAGCTCATGAGCTTGTGGATTTTAACCTGTAACAAATTATTTTTCAAGGGATCAAAACCACTATAAATGGTTAAAAATCATGAGTTACAGCTCATAAAATCATGAATTTTTTACCTCTATAAGACTATTTGCCTATGGGTCAAAAATCTAAAAAGGCCAAAAATCGTGTGCCATAGTTCATGCATTCGTCAATTTTTGGCCTCCACGAAATACTTTGCTAACGGGTCAAAACAACTAAAAATGTCAAAAAAATCATGTCTTTTACCTAATAAAATTGTGAAATGTGGCCACCAGGAAACTATTTGCTAATGAGTGAAAACCACTAAAAATGTCAAAAAAATTGTTACTTATAGCTCATGAAATTGTGAATTTTTGTCTAAGTAAAATGCTTGCTAGCAGGTCAAAAGCACTAATAATAGCCAAAATCGTAAGTTATAGCTCTTAAAATCAAGAATATTGTGAATTTTTAGCTATGGGAAATTGTTTCGCGATAGGGCAAAATTAATAGAAATGGCCATAAATTTGGGGTTATAACTCTTGAAATCATGAATTTTTGCCTACATGAAATTATTTGCCTACATGTTAAAGCTACTAGAATGGCCAAAAATCGTGAGTTAGAGCTTATAAAATTATGAGTTATAGCTCATAAAACTATGAATTTTGGCTCACAAGATATTATGTGGCTACGGGTTGGAACTAGTAAACATGTTGAAAAATCATGGGTTATAGCTAATGAAATTATGAATTTTTGGCTCCTCAAAATTATGTGTCAATGGGTTAAAACAACAAAAAATAGATAAAAATTGTAGGTTATAGCTCTTGAAATCGTGAATATTAGGACAGAGAAATTAGTATAAATGGGAAAATATTTAAAAATGACCAAATATTCATGGGTTATAGCTCATAAAATCGTGAATTTTAGCCTACAGAAAATTATTTGCCAATGAGACGAAACCACTAGAAATGACCAACAACCATAGGTTATAGCTCATGAAGTCATCAATCTTGGCCTACAAGAAATTATTTGTCAATAAGACAAAACCACTAGAAATGACCAAAAATAATGGGTTATAGCTCATGAAATCATGAAATTTAGTCTCTAGAAAATTATTTGTCGATGGGTCGAAACTAATAAAATGGTTAAAAATCATGGGTTACAGATTATAAATTTGTGGATTTTGGCCTATAGAAAATTATTTGCCAACGGGTAGAAATCGCTAAAAATGGCAAAAAAATATGACTTATAGCTCATGAGCTTGTGGATTTTAACCTGTAACAAATTATTTTTTAAGGGATCAAAACCACTATAAATGGTTAAAAATCATGAGTTACAGCTCATAAAATCATGAAATTTTTACCTCTGTAAGACTATTTGCCTATGGGTCAAAAATCTAAAAAGGCCAAAAATCGTGTGCCATAGTTCATGCATTCGTCAATTTTTGGCCTCCACGAAATACTTTGCTAACGGGTCAAAACAACTAAAAATGTCAAAAAAATCATGTCTTTTACCTAATAAAATTGTGAAATGTGGCCACCAGGAAACTATTTGCTAATGAGTGAAAACCACTAAAAATGTCAAAAAAATTGTTACTTATAGCTTATGAAATTGTGAATTTTTGTCTAAGTAAAATGCTTGCTAGCAGGTCAAAAGCACTAATAATGGCCAAAATCGTAAGTTATAGCTCTTAAAATCAAGAATATTAGCATAGAGAAATTACTAAACAATAGGAAGACAATTTGAAATGCCTAAATATCGTGGGTTGTAGCTCATGAAATCATGAATTTTGGCCTTTTAAAAAATTATTTGTCAATGAGACAAAACCACTAGAAATGATAATCATGGATTATAACTCATGAAGTTATGAATGTTAGCCTCCGAGAAATTATCTGCCAACAGGTCGAAACCATTGAAAAATGCTAAAAATCATAGGTTGTAGTTCATAAAATCGTGAAATTTGGTCTCTGGGAAATTATTTTTCTATGGATCGAAACTACTAAAATGATTAAAATCATGGGTTATAGCTCATAAAATTATGAATTTTGGCCCATAGTAAATTATTTGCCAACGGATCGAAACCTCTAGAAATGGGCAAAAATCGCTAGTTTGCTCATGAAATCATAAAATTTTGCCTCTAGGAAATTATTTGCCTACTTGTCAAAACCACTAAAAATGGTAAAAATCATGGGTTATAGCTCACAAATTTATAAATTTTGACCTGTAGCAAATTATTGCCTAGGAGTCAAAACAACTAGAAATGGCAAAAAACCATGAGTTATAGCTCATGAAAGCATGTATTTTTTGCCTCCATGAAATTGTTTGCCTACAGGGAAAAATCATTAAAGATGGCCAAAAATTATGTGCCATAGCTCATGAAATCATGAATTTTAGCCTGCGCGAAATAGTTTGCCAACAGGTCGAAGCTACTAATAATATCAAAAAAGGCATGGCTTATAGATAATGAAATGGTGATATTTGGCCTCTAGAAAATTATTTGCGAACGAGTGGAAACCACTAAAATATCCAAATATCATGTGCCATAGCTTATGAAATTATGAATTTTGCCCTTTTGAAAATTATTTGCCAATAGGTCAAAAGTACTAAAAATGGTCAAAATTCCTAGGTTATAGCTCATGTAATGGTGAATCTTCACCTCCGGGAAATAATTTGCCAACGGCTCTAAACCACTAAAATGACAAAAAATCATGGCACAAAACTAACGAAATTATGATATTTGGTCCCCGAGAAATTATTTGCGAATGAGTCGAAACCTATAAAAAAAGGCTAAAAATTATGGGTTATAGCTTATGAAATCGTGAAATTTGGCCTCCGAGAAATTATTTGCCTATAGATCGAAACCACTAAAATGGTTGAAAATCATGGGTTATTGAATTATGAAATTGTGAAATTTTACTTGTAGCAATTTATTTGCCGATGGGTCAAAGCCACTAGAAATGGCCAGAAATCGTGCGTTATATAGATCATGAAATAGTGAATATTTGCCTTTAGGAAATTATTTGCCTACGGGTCAAAACTACTACAAATAGCTAAAAATCATATGTTATAGCTCATGAAATCTTGAATTTTAGCCTCCGCGAAAAAATTTACCAATTGGTCTAAACAACTAAAAATCTCAAAGAAATCATAGCTTATAGCTAATGAAATGGTAATATTTAGCCTCCAGGAAATTATTTGTGAACGAGTGAAAACCACTAAAAATATCTAAAAATCGTGTGTCGTAGCTCATGAAATTATGAATTTTGACCTTAGGAAAATCAATTGCCTGCAAGCCAAAGCCACTGAAAATGCCAAAAAACATACCTTATAGCTCATGAAATTATGAATTTTCGCCTTCAAAAAATTATTTTAAAACAGTCCAAAAGCACTTAAAATAGCCAGAAATCATAGGTTAGCGCTCATGAAATGGTGAATTTTGGATTTTGGGAGATAATTTGCCAACGAATCAAAATCACTGAAAAATGTCAAAAAATCATGGCATGGAGCTAATGAAATAGTGATATTTGGCCTCCATGAAATTAATCACGATCGAGTGAAAAAGCGCTAAAATTGTCTAAAATCGTGCGTCATAACTCATGAAATTAAAAATTATGTCCTCCACAAAATTATTTGCCTACAGGTCAAAATCACTAAAAATGTTAAAAAATCATAGATTAAGATCATGAAATAGAGAAGTTTGGACTATGGAAAATTATTTGCTATCGGGTCCAAACACTAAAATTGGCAAAAAAAAAAATGTGTTATAACTCATGAATTCGTGAATTTTTTTCTCTGAAAAATTATTTGCCTGCGGGTGGAAACCACTAAACATGTTAAAAATTTATGGGTTATAGCTAACGAAATTATAAAATTTTCCACCTCGAAATAATTTGCTAATGGGGTCGAAATAATTAAAAATGACTCAAAATCATAGGTTATATCTCTTGAAGTCATTAATATTAGAACAGAAAAATTATTAGACAATGGGAAAATAATTTAAAATGGGCAAATTTTGTGGGTTAACGACTTTATTTATACAGCGTGCCCCTTTCACTAGTGAAAATAAAAGGCCTAAGGGTCTATGTAAGATGGGCCAGGTTAAATTTGCAGTTGATCCAAATCATTCGCTCAGGGCCTCTTCAGCCTTAACTACATTCAGCTTGATATAGATTTCTTGGGCTAGCCAAAGGCCCAAGCCCCCAATATAAACTATCTTTAAAGAGAATTAATGTTATCAAGCACCTATCAGTTAAAATTTTCACTAAAAACATAAAAAAAATTCTTTTAATAAAAACTCACACTCAAATCACACAACTCATTTATTTAATGTTTAGATCCAATCAATATACAAGTCGCATGCTTCGAACATGAGTTTTTCTTAAATATTTTTGGTTTTCCAATAAAAAAAAATTGACTAGAATGTGCTTGATTGCATCAAAAACCCACTTTAAAGATAGTTTATATATTAATTATAACATTTAAATGCGGATCTTGTAATATGATCCTATTTTTAAGGTGGTTTGTAGGATTTTTTTTAAAAAATATGCTGGTGTTCCATTTTTTTACTTTTTTCATAACTTTTTTCATTGGCTAAATTCTCAAATTGGTGCTTTTAAACACAATCAAATTGGTGCTTCAAAGAAGTGATCGGAGAAACTATTAATACCAAACCGGTTAAGAAGAGTTACGAAAAAAAAAAACTTGCAAATTGCTGGGGGAAAAAAATTTGCAGCCCCCAGCTGATCTAGCACGTGACAAGCATCACATTGCGGCCAGCGCGTGGGAATCACGTGATGTCCACGTGGCGCAAATATGGGGGAGTCGAGAAGCATGGTCAGAAAACGAAAAAGGATCGGGAGAGGAGAGAGGGACAGAGAGAGATGGAGAGGCTCCCAAGCGAGGTGTGTCTCAAAGTCTTCCACCTCTTGGATCACCAAGCTCTTGCTTCTTCTCTCCAAGGTCCTCTCTCTCTCTCTCTCTCTCTCTCTCTCTCAAAATTAGCTTTTCTTGGGTCAATTTTTTTTTTTAATTTATGATGTTGAATATGTTAATTGCCATTTTTAATTCAGTTCTGCTTCCTCAGATGTCTGTAGTCGAATTACACAAATGGGTTCCCTCATGACACAATTCCAATCAAACCCAGATGGAAATGTTGGTATTTAGGTAGATCTGTGTGGGTAAATCTTGTAATTAGCATATCCTCTATAAATTAATTAAATAATTAATTAATAACTTGTAATTAGCATATTCTTCATGACAACATAACTTAGTGCTGAGCCTGAGTTGTGTGTGGTTTCTTGCCTCACTAAAATGAGTAGGATATGGATGTAAATCATAAAAGTCCCAAAATTATATTACATTTTATTTGTGCCAGAAAAAAAAAACTTTTGGTCCCTAACTTGAAACGCGACATAATTTCAATGAGTCATGCGTACACCACGTTGGTTATATTGAACAATTTTTTTTTTTTTTTTTTGCTTTCTCGAACTAGTTTCCAAGAAGTGGAAGGTGTTAGCTTCTGAAGATGTCCTGTGGTGCAACCTGTTTAAGGAAAGGTGGGGAGAAGATCAAGCATCATTTTTCGCACCGAACGATTTAAATTCGTGGAAGGATGTCTATATAGTGCAAGACCGGTGTGATCGACATGGATTGTAAGTATTCACAATTCAATCTCATATATTGTATGACGTATATTGGAGATACCATTGAAAGTTGCATGTCTGAAATTATTCAATGCATGAAACATTTCTAAAAAAAATTGGTACGGGCCACACCTATGTTATATAATCGTCTTTACTAATATACTTATGTGTGTGCTCGTACATCAAGATAATTAGTTATTCCGTATTTATTGAAGTTAATGCAGATACTTGCTTGATACAATAGAGTTGAGATTTTTGAAAGTTTTAAAATGATTTCATTCAGCTCCCCGTGCATACTGGTACTAGCCAAAGATATCTCAGACGGTGGTTTGTTTCATATATTAAATTGATACTCACGCTTTGGACATTTGGGCTTTAAGATAAAATTAGAAGTTGCGCCTTAGAGACTTGGACATTGTGCAGCTGTTTGTCATCTAAATTCTCATAAAGAGAAGACTTATGTTTCATAGGCAGGTCGTAGAATACTTTGCTGAATAGTGACGTCATAGTCTTGTATCATGTCAGGCATGATTAAATTGTATTCTCAATTTTACTTGTTTAATTGAGTTACTGTATTTTTCTTTCTGCTTTTAGTAAGGCCGTTCCTGCCTTTCTGTTTCCTAGAAGAGTGCAAAGTAGTACTGCTTCTTGAAGAGCTACTTCACTGGATTTCTGAGGCAAAGGGCAAAGAGTATTACGGCCTTAGCGTCGAATGTACTATATTTTTCTCAACATGCTAATTGATATAATGATAATTCACGTCCGCTTCATTGCTTTCCAAGTTTTGGTAGGTATTTCGCCTATGTTCATCTGACAAACTTGCTTGTATATGTATTATCGAACTACTTGGTTGACTTAAATTACACTTTACTACTGACGTGGTGTCTACATGTACAAATCTTCTAGACCCTTTAATTGAGAATAGATTAATACTTACATTAGGAAATCTTAAATTTTCATACTGAGGCCTTACACCTCAATTTCCAAGTTCACCTAGTTTAGAATCCATTCTTACTCAATTATTCCATCCATATGCTAGTAGATGGAGGAGAAAAATCCTACAGAAAGCCCTCTATCTAAAATAATATAGATAGAAAGGACACGTCGCACACAAATATAGATAGAAAGGACACGTCGCACACAAATAATATAGATAGAAAGGACACGTCGCACACAAAAATCCTACAGAAAAATCCATACGTTTTCTTATTCTCTGATGAAAAAAGACCTGGTTTATGTATTAGGGGCTTGAAGATAATTAGAGAAGGATGTGAGTATTATCTCATTCATCAAGGTGAAATCCAGCGATATCTAGGCTCAGGTAGCAAGCCGAGGAAAGACAACAAGAGGGAGCAGGAACCATCTCAGATTGCTGAGAGCATCCTCTTCTTCATCGGCGATCTGGAGACAGCTTGTGCCGGTGCAAAACGTGTACGCATGTGAACGTGTACAGACTCTATGGATGTATTGTTTGTATTGTAATTGGTTCTTTCATATCTGTGGATATGTACAGTTTCTACTGTAAATCTCTGTAAAATGTAACATTTATTCTCTAAACCTGCTATTGTTTTGTATGTACTATTGAACTACTGTAACTACCGAATGGTCATTTGTCTGTTTGTATTTGATCTTGTTCATTATGCAAAAACTTCTGAGCCGTGAAATGAGTATTGTTGGAGCAATTTCAAGCAAATACTTTGCACGCGAGTTGCACGTGTAAAAAAGTGATCGTATAGGCAGTTTTATATTTTCATCTTGCATTTCTAGATTTTTTTTATGTATTCAAATCTTCTCCAATTAAGTGGTTGTTATGAGAATAATTACACCAAGTGTTAACCCTCCTCTTGGAGTCGACACGTGTCCCATATTAACATTAATTATCAGATCAGCAATGGCAACTCGGGTGACCTGGGCACTTGACCTTTCCCAAGCTAGGACGAGTCGAGATGAGCTCTCACCCAACCCTATCATTCGAGTCGACCACCGTCATTTATTCATAGCCGGATCGACAATTTGCATGGCCAACAAAAAAGACGGTATTTGTCATCCAGCTGGTAGAGCCAAGTCGAGAGGTGATTTGTCCTTGAACTCCACGCCAACGACTGTCCATCATCATCATAGCTAGTGTCACTAGTCTGCATGACTCATCACTCTCCACACCTCCTCAATCACCATCACATCAAATTAATGGTGAGCCATCGCATATGCAATCAATCACCTGTGAAGCTATATGCTGATTCAGCTGTCTGTCTGGACTCGGCCAGAGTTACGCTTCTACCCCTCTCAGCTAGGTATATATATGGGCTAATCACCCACTGACAAAGAGGATCCCTCAGGCTCCTCTCGGGGCCGTGGGTACGTCGTTTCTAACCAATAATGTCATCACATGTATATTCTAAACTTATACAGTTCATTGATTCTCTACTCAAGCTCTATACTGACTTGAGCATTGGAGGAATCACTAGAGAATCCAATTCAGGTTCTCTAACGTGCCTATTTTGTAACTTGCTTATTCTAAAATAGGGGATCAGTCGCCTGAGGGGATGAGGGAACCCCCTTCTTTCGTATCCAGAATTATCTACTAATCTCGTTGCTGAGTCCTAGGACATCAACACTGGCACTCACCGTGGGGGCCTCTTCGTCTATCTTTGACTGACCCTCCCTATATTCGAATATCAGAATAAGAAGCTGCCATCTCCATCTAACCTCCACGACAATCGAGATTTCGTCATAAGGATATAATGGCAAGTTGGCCATAATACAGCTTTAGGAAAACTATTCAAGGTAATCAAACTAAAGATACTCTCTTCAACAAGATAGTTTTTCACCAGCTTGCGTTGATCAATCTTCATCAACTCGGTCTACATCGACAAAAAGACCTTAGCATCATTTTCGTGCATAAGCCCAAGGCACGGCTCAAAACTTGGTATCATTCTCATGTGTAAAACCTAAGACATGCGAAAGACCTTGGTACCTATTCAGGGTAAAGCCAAGGCACATCATCGACAAAAAGACCTTGGCATCTTCCTAAGTCCAAGGCATGTATCTCAAGATCTTGGTGTCATCACGAGTAAATCCAAAGCATGAAGCCGAAAGACATTGGCATCTTCCTAATTCCAAGGCACATGCCCCAAGACCTTGGTGTCATTACGAGTAAACCCAAGGCACGAAGCCAAATGACTTTGGCATCTTCATAAGTCCAGGGCACATACCCCAAGTCCTTGGTGTCATCGCGAGTAATCCCAAGGCACGAAGCTGAAAGATCTTGGCATCTTCCTAAGTCCAAGGCATGTACCCCAAGACCTTGGTGTCATAACAACTAAACCTAAGGCACAATGCCAAGTCGTCTCACTTTCCATACATGCAATCGGTTCTCATCAACCCAAAAACAACCTTGTACCCAAACAAATCAGATTGCAAACTCTTAACGTACAACAAGAACGCAATCTCAAAGCTACACAGTTCAAATTAACAAACTATCTTTTTATTCATATATGAGGAATTATTTATAGTACAAAAAGGTGCTACAAAAAAAGAAGAAATGATACATTGGGCCCCAAGGGGTCGGACTCAGAAGAATAGCAAGACTAAGAGATGCGGGCGGATTGACACCAGAGCCATGAGTAGGAGTTGAGCATAGAGGAACAGCTACAGGGGTTGGTAAGGGAGTTAACTGAACCTCAGACTCGACCCCTTTGGCTTTCTTTGTTCCAGGCTCACTCGCCTAGCTGTCGCGGCGAGCCGAGCCCTCGCCTACCTCCTCGACCGACTCTTCGCCATCCTCATCGTCACTCCTATCAAGCACAAGTCCCCCTCCCTGCTTCTTTATCTCCTAGAGGGCATTAAGGCGGTTGGCTTCTTAGGGAGGATAGTGAAAGCAGTCAAGTTCATTCCTGATCTAGGCTAGAAGCTATGCCTCAAGATAGTCATAGTCAGCCTTGCAAGCCAGCATCACGTCCATCTTTCCGAGAGTGCTATGGCGATAGCCTTCGACAATCTCGAACTGATGGGCCTAAGACTCCAGAGAAGAGAAGTGTCCTTGCAAAGCCTAGATCTCCATGAGGAAAGACTCGCATTGCTGCTTAGCCTTCAGCACAGCACGAGTTCTTTCTTCCCCGAACTTCTTATGAGCTATTTGCTCCTCCTTCAGCTTGGCCAATAGTATTTAGGTAGCCAGACGATCCAATCGAGCCCACTCCTGTGCATCATTCCTCTCCTTCTTCTTTGCCACAACCTCATTGAACAAATATTTTATTCTAACATTTCTCTCAAGGAGCTCGTGCTCGAGATGGCCGAGGTCTTCCTTTAGCTTGTTGATCACGATTGACGTCTTGCTGTTTGAAGTCTTCAGGCCGCCGATCATCTTCTCTCACATCTCCACCTCCCGATGCCACTTGTCCTCGCTCCTCTTCCAGTAAACCAGTTCATCCTCCTTAGCAACCAGCGATAGGAGAACCTTCTCTAGGTTAGCCTTCTGGGGTTCCAACTCTCTCTGGAGCTTGAGGAAAGAAGTTTTGGCTCGCTCATAGCGGCCGAACAGGTCCTCCTCGACCAAAGATCCTCGAACCATATAGCCATTTAGGCATTGATGAAGGCCGACATCCGGCATCTCCCTAAAGATGTCGTCGTTGCGTGGGAGGTAGAACTTCTCGATCACTTGGATTTGGGAAAGTCGAGACTCCAGAACTAACCCCCTCATGTCAAGATGTCGAGGGGTTCATATCTAAACTCCTGAGACGACCCTCTATTGTAGCGAGGACCAACTCTGGAATACCCTATTAGATGCATCCTTAGTTGATCCCACTTTCTTGGCTCAAACTCATCGATGCAGTGAGGAAACGGTCGCCCGAACCCTTAGGTAGGAAGCACCCCCTCAGTTGCTGGCTCTTTCCCCTATCTATGAACTGAATCGACAGGTGCATTAGGGTCCACCTCGCCCTCTGTAAGGGCCTCAGCCTCAGCAATGTTGATATCGCCCCCCTCTTCTTTAGGAGGGGACCTATCGTAAACAATGACGACTTCAGCTTCTTAGGCCAGAACAGCAACAACAGTCGCCTACTTCACTGCTTGATGAGATGGGATCTCCATCGATGGCTGGCCTATGGCGTCCCCCTAAATAGCAGAGGACGCACCTTGCCTCCATAGCAGCTTCAGCTATCTTTTTGGGGTCTCTGCTGACCACTTTTCTCAACTTCCTCTTCTTCTTCTCGGCCCTCTCGGCCTAGGCTGTAGCAGCCATCAACCTAGTCAGCTGAGCAACTATTTTGGTTTCTTGAGCCTGGACCCCCTCAACCTCCTCAGGCGCCCGTTTAGGGCAGAGGTGCTTCTCAGTCTCATTGAAGACCCTCCCTATTTTGAGCGGGCGGGGCTGTCGGCACCAACTCGGCCTCATCTGAGCCAAGAACGCAGCTAACCTAGCCTCATCATCCACCGTGGGAGGCATAGAAAAGATGACGACAACTCACAGGACTGAGTTGTCAAAGATGTCCTTAATCTGGCAAGAGCCAGTGTACGCTCTAATCATCTCGAGCACACTTCTCTCGGCGCTCGATAGAGGCCCTGGATATAGAGCATCCTTCTTGATCTTGGGCCAGCTAGAGCAAGCTATAATCTGGTTTCCTTACCGCGTGCTATTTTTGGAACATCTTTGAGAGAACCTAAGGATGAAAATAAAGAAAGATGATATAATGGAAGGATTGCTTCTTCAGAAGAGAAACATCGCGCAATTTCAAGAGTAGAAGAACTTCAGAGAATGATGCTCCCGTGTTGCCATAGAGCTTCTATTTAGGGGGGTTTTCCCGGAAACCATCCTAAAAATAAGATAATTATACAGAAACCACTTCTAATTTTAGTTTATGTAAACACCAACCATATTTAAAGTGAGTGTGTAACGCAATCATCCACCTTCCAATCAAAATTTCACCAAAAAAAATCAAATGTAAGTTTTAAAAAATTCATATTCAAGATAAGCGATACGTATCCTAAAAAGACCTAGAATATTTTTGGAATTTTAGTGAAAATTTGACTATGAGACGGTTGATTGAAACATAAACCTACTTTAAAGGTGATTTTGTATATAAATTGATATTAAATGGTGGTTTCTACATAATTACCCTATTTTTAAGGTGATTTTTTTTTACAAATGAACCCTTCTATTTATAAGAAAACCAAAGAGCATGGAGAAAGTCACAGAAAGACAGAAGAATAATGGATGCTGTTCTCGTATTTGTATAGCTCTGTCTGGGCTGTTTGTTTGGTTGATTTCTCAAAAACCAAAAAAATAAGAAACATGGCTCAGAAACCACCTATCAAAGTGTTTTAAGCAATTTCAAATAGGTTTCCTTAAATTGGTGTCACATCAACAAACCAATGAGAGGGTGCCAACTCACCCTCTCTCGATTTCACTCGGTTTTAAAATGTGAACCAAACTAAAGAAAAAGAGAAGTTCATAGAAATAGGTTTCTCATAATGTTGTTTTCTTGTGTTTTTTCGCCAACCAAACAGGCTAGAAGAAAGATAAAGATACAGATAAAAATAAAAAAGCGAGAAAGAAACTCTCTCGTACAAATTGAGCACTCTTCAAGTAGAAAACCAGCATAAACTCTCTATTCTCAGCAAAAGAACCAACCTAACATAAATGAGGCTATACAGGAGATACAAGCGGAGACAGCAGCAATTAAAATGATTCAGAGTTCATCATTTAGATGATGAATAACCTCTGCATTATTAGCTTGAAAACGATTTAGGCCATCCAAATGTTCACGGCCTATTGATCCCGATTTAATGGCAAGCCCAGAACTTTTCTTTGTAACGTTAGCAAGCCAACCCGTTTTGATACAACATAGAGCACAGCGGATATGAATACAAGAAATCCAATCACCATAATCACCCTGTGAGAAAGAATTCAGCATGAGCAATCAAGAAACATACCACGGAAAATAGATTACAGAAGGCTAAATGGCACTTAAATACCTCAATGTTTCACCACCTTTACACTTAAATACCCTAGGCTATAAAAAGTAACACTTTGATAACCTAAGTTGTAATAAACGTAGCAATTTCATACCCAAAATTGTAAAAAAAATGGCACTTAAATACCCTATTGTTTCTCCACCTTTACCCTTCAACATTCTAATTTGTAAAAAGTAGTACTTTAATATCATAAGCTATAAGAACATAGCACTTTAATACTCTAAGTTGTAAGAAAGTAGCACTTCAGTGCCTTTTATTAGTTGTCAGGACATATTCATAGGAATGTTCCCATGACAAGTAGTAGAAGGCACTAACGTGCCAATTTTTTACAACTTGTGGTATTGAAGTGCTACTTTTTACGACTTAGGGTATTTAAGTGTAAAGGTAGTGAAACAATAGGGTATTTAAGTGCCATTTAGCCATTACAGGATAAACATCATCGGTTTGCTGTAGATTTGAGCTTCCTCCTTTTAACAGCCATCTTTTATGAGTGAGTTCCTTTAGTAAGAACAGCTTTAAAGAACAATGAGTATGAGCTTTGTTGAGGCTTTGGCTCGGTGACGATGCAGTTATATTGGACTATGGAAGGTCCAAATTCAAATCCAGGCTATCCTCACTTGTAATGAAATAAAATAGGAGTAATTTTGGCTTTAGTCTTTTTCTTACACTGTGTCATATAGACAACTACAATCTATTCGTCATTTTGTCCTCTGCCTTTCATCTAGAAACTTTTTGTCAAGGTTAAATGAACTTCGAAGGATCGTCCATGAGCTTAAACAGTGTGATGAATAAAAAAGACTAGGTCATCTGGTGTCAAGAAATTACAGATTGTATATGTTACATGAAACATTTGTAGTTCTTTATGGTATAGCACAACTGTCAGCATTAAAGTTTTATTGCAATGAAGCTGGGATTATATGGAAGAGGCAGTATCCATAGTTATGTAGAAAGAAATTTCACTTTCAAGCTGGATATTGTTCAATTAAAGTTTCACAACAAGGGACTGGGATCAAACAGAAAGAAACATTAATTAACAATAAAAACATATAAGTTATCACTTATTTTGTTTTTGTTATTGATAGGTTTCAAACTTAAAGTTAACGACCTATGTTCAAAATAATACACAACTAAGTTAAACATGGCTTAGAGAGAAAAAAATCACCTAGTCAAACAACAGCTGAGAGATGTTTTACCTGTCTAAGACGTCCTGACGGCGCATTGTGGAGAGCAATCTCCTAGTACGCATCAGCAAAGACCGATGTCCTTTGTACTCACTCTCAGCTTTCTTTAAGACACTTGTTGATTGATCTGTTTGACAAATAATATATCCACATATGAGAAGGGGGGAAAAATCAATGAGGTATAAACAACTAAATATAAGAACAAAATTTTCATGTTACAGCCTGAATTTTACTCATTAGATTGTTGGTTATGCATCTCAAGGATTTACGAGACCAATGTATAATGAGTTTCATACATTATTAATGTGGAGAAGGAATGGTTGATGGAGCAGTAGGACCTTTACTATAAATCATTACTAAAGTCATGTTAGAAAAAATGCCATACTGAGTTATTAGGACATGTTTTCTTGGTACTGAAGGGAGCCCAGCAAATACGTGAAAGACGACATTTTTCAAATTCCTTTTCTGTGAATTTCTCCGGTTATTGAGCTATTTGCTCCAGCAACATCAGCTGCAATGTCTCTTTTATCCTTGACAAGCTGAGCTTTACACATCAGAAAAAGATCCTCAGAAGTTTCCAGTCACCACACACCAAATACATAGCCAACACTAATATTGTGGCTCCATTATGATATGATGCTATATCCTCTGCAAACTTATTGAATATAGCTATTCTCTACTTATCTCCTCTATGTCCCAAGGAACTTCAAATGAAAACTGTTGCATTTGCAAATTGATTACTCCCCTCATGCATTTCTGAGGTCCCCCTTTAGAGAAGGTAGTAATAATTAGCCAGCACCAAGTACAAACACCCTCTGATAGCTAATCCAATCCCTCATAGCATTAATGGCGACCGAAGAGGCACCTCCTAATCTCTAATGGAATCTTTATGTTACAAGAAACCTCAAGCAGAGATTGTAACATCACAATTTTCCATTTACTTGAAATCTATTTCACAACCATCTGCACAATGGAATACTCTCTCTGCACATGTCTGAGATCTCCAGTTTAAGGTAACTAATAATCTATCAGCACAGCAGTACCAAGCCGAGAAGCTTTCAATGTTTCATTCCATCTCCTCATTCTTGATACCTTAACAGCGACCAGAAATGACTTGTTATCCATATTGGTACGTGTCTCATGTTCTTTAGACCTTTAAATAAAATAAAATAAAATAAAATAAAAAAATCCAACAACAAAACAAAAGACTACGACCACGAGAATGTTTGGATTTCCTGACTTCCTGAAGAAATCAAACTACCATGATGCTCTCAAGACATGCAACCAAGCTTGATCTAAGTTATTCAATGTAGTCTAGCAGAATGAGACCAGTCATACTTTGGATTTCTTCTGAAGCAGCAGCAATCAAATTTTTTTCTTTTATCTAGTTTGCTTTCCTAAAATAGTTGAGACTTAATAATGAAACGTAGCAGTGGATGAGGTTGTTGAATGTTCAAGCAATCTCATGTGCATGATATTATACAAGACCAAAAGTCCAGAAAGCAAATTTAATGCCTGAAATTAGAGTCCTCAAATGACACTGCAATGCACTAATTTATGAATAAACCACTGTTAGACTTATACTTAACTGATTGATCAGACATAAATAGGCCACTCTTTATAGTATTCCCACAAAAATCATCCCACATGCGCGCACATGCAAATGCTTTACTTATATGTACTGATCAAACAAAATCTACAAGTAACAAATCAGAGCAGAACATAAGCTGGATGTTCAAATTGGAGAAGTGCTTCGGAGTTCTATATGATTCTGTCCATCAGGTTGAATGATGGATTCTAGAATATAAATCAGACCAATAATACTTTTGAGTCAAAATATGCAGGAAGTGAAGTGACAACTTGTCCAAAAATGAGTATAAAAGAAATGAGAACGACAACATTAATGAATGACAACACAAAGAGAGGGAATAAGAAATGAAGACATTCATGAGGAATTAAGAGATAACTCCTAGTGAGAATAGAAATGAGGAAGAATTGATTCAGACAGTTTGTAGATTGAATGGAGGTCAATAATTGCATCAATTAGCATAGTGTATAAAATCAGAGTTACAAATTAATTAGGACCAGAAATTGAACCTGATGAAAATAGATGAGGCAATTAAGGATAAAAGCTTTTTGTTCTTGTTACACTTATTCATGTATTTCCTGGTTAGACCTTTGAAACTAACCAGGAATCATTTATACACAGTTGACGCTGGTGACAAATCCTGATTGGAGAAATCTTTCAAGAATGATGGTCATGGTGATGGTGGAGGAGGTGATGATGAAAACCATGTAAGCTCCTTTCTGAGAAAATCATTTCGGGATGTAGATGACAGTAAACAGCAACAGATGATATAACCTCAAACAATAGAGTATAGGAACATGTTATTTTTTCCCCTGTCAATCTAGAAAAAGGACAAGAGTGCAACCACCTGTGAGAATGGAGCAATTAATTATTTTGAGTCTTAACATATTAGAATTGTTCGTAGATTATCCATTAACTATAACAATAAGATTAAAACACTCCCATAGATGTTTTCTCAGATATTTAAAATAGTGTTAATTGCACAAAGACCCCCTATAGTATCACCCAATTGTGAATAGACCCCCTATGGTTCTACTTGTGGCGAATAGACCCCTTGTAGTATTGGCCCAGATGGAAACCTTAGTAAACTTGAAATCGACTCTTAAAAATAAAAAATAAAAAAGTAATTGAAGGTCTATCCTTACCAATGGAATTACTAGGGGTCTACTTGCCTCCTCAAACTTTTTAAACAATTTTAAGAGTGAAAAAAAAAATTACTCAGGGGGTCCATTCGCAAAGATAGAACTACAGGGGTCTATCTGCAATTGGGTGATACCATAGGGGATCTGTTCACAATTAACCCTTTAAAATATATAGTTACAGTAAACAACCAATGCAGCAAAAGGATTTAAAATTTCAAGAAAAACATCACAAAAGAAGGGTGTTCTATTTGATAAAACAAAATTCGGTTCAGAACAACAGATAGTTTAAAAAAACCAAGAGAGAAGAAATGTAAAATTTGAAGTGCCAATAGCACAATATAACAAATATGTAAAAAATATCAATTTGAGTTACCATTTCCACAACAAGGTTTCAAATAACATACCAAAAGTTTCCAATGTACTTGCACTTCTTTCAACCTCCTGGAAAATCATCAAACTATAAGTTACATTAACCCATCAAGAAGCTAAATCATTGAGAAAAGATGCAGAACAGCATAAAACCTCCTAGACCACCTGAACCATCAATTGACGAGTACGTCGAAGGCTCTCAGTAATGCTTTCTGCAGCAGATGTCATCCCAGCCTTCGTCCTATATTAGAAAAACCTTAAGCTCTTTATACTAACTTTGCTATCAAAAATTGAAAGTAAGATAGTTATGCTGAGGTGATAACCAAGCTCAGAAAAATTTCAAAATGTGCACCAAGTGGTCAGGAGGTTATGAACACTCAAGGAAACACAGTTGAGTCTTAAAAGCTATGCACCTCAAATATCCAAGAGATCTCCATCCTCTAAACACTACCTACTATTTTAGTCATACTATTCAAAATAATGAGTGTACTTGTATGTACAGAGTTGCATGCCACTTGCATCTGCTTTAGCTTTGATAGTAAATTCACTGTCCCCACCCCCCACCCCACCCCAGAAAAGAAAGGAAAGAAAGAAAGAAAAAGAATCAAGGGACTTTCTTAAAATAAAAAAGTGATAGAAAACGCAGACATGTATCACTTTATAGAGCATGTGCATGTTGAATATAGTATAAGGTAATGTTGTTGTTTAAATGCTGGCATAAGCATGTTTCAACATGTCATCAATAAATATATACTATGTTGAAAAACACCAAGAGTGTTTATACTGAGAACAAGCTTCAACCACTGAATCATCAATAATGATCAATCCTAAACATTAAAACAGAAATCAGAGAGATCCAAACCATTGGAACTCCTAAGTTATATTCAAGCCGCCAATATATAGTATTACAATGAAAACCAGACACTAGATCCAGATGAAAATAGTAGCACATGTTTGCATTCTTAACCATGGTTCTGATGTTAAATGCTAAGATAATAAATGTTTGCCTAATGATCCACAACTTTTACCGTCTATTTTCAGCTAGAGCCATCCAAATCAATATGCTTTAATAAACAGATAATTATTACGAGCTAAGTTCGAACCGTCAAGGTGCCTCAGCATTAATTTCTGGTATAATCCAGTGAAGTTTGATGTTTGTTATGAACAGGGCTTCATCCATATGCACTTGGTAAGTATGCATTGTAATTAAATACACAAAAAATTGTTTGATTCACAACAAATAACTAATGCAGCATTCTAGCTTGGTGATAAGCAAATGTTTCACTAAAACAACAGTGCTTACTGTAAATTACGTCTACGAATTGTAGACTCTTCACCACCTCCTAAAAGCAGCTCCCTCTGCAAACAAAAGCATCCAACATCCGTTTTAACAAAATACCGAAAATAAGAGGTAAAGTCCAGTTGCACAATTTTCTCATTAGCAACCAGAAAGAGTAGTCATTTCCATTGAGTAACAGGACAAGAAAGCCTAAAAACTCAGATGCAGCAACATCATGCATTTTAAATGTGGCTATCAGTACAAAGAACAAAATGCAAATAAATGATAGAGAAACAATTAATGAAGCATAACAGACAACTTGCCTCTTCCCGTGCAGCTTTCTGGATATTCGATTTTGCTTGCAAGTTGGCATTCCTCAAGCTCATATGCAAACTGAAAAATAAAATTAAAAGACACATTATGAGAATCAACACATGACCACCAATTATCTGTTTCATCAAGTTCAATTATGAATAAGTAGCAAGTATCATACCTCTGATACTGTTCCTTCCATGACTTCAAAATTGCATTGGCAGACTGCACCTCCTCTTCTGTGGGAAGTTGTTGGGCTAAAAGGTCAAGCTTAAACTGCAATGACCTGAGCACCGCCATTCCGTCCTGCGCAGCACCATTCAATCTAGGAAGCGAATTCGCTTCCTCTGTCCCTTTTCCGGATTTTCCGCAACTCTCAATTGCTCTCACATGTTCTTGAGTCTGGACAAATGTTTGATCCCACTCCTTTTTGGCATTGTCGACTGCCACTACAACCTCATCCATTGTGACCTATACAAATTAGTGATCAAAAACATCAAATTTTCACTTGATATGTAGTAATGGATAAGGTATTGGTTTCTTCATCATACTGCTTTATCAGTATTCCACAAAAAATAGATAGAACGACATATTTTCTTGTAAAGGGGAAATCAAGCAAGCAAACAACATTGAATGAATATCAACCAAGTTTTCGCTGTTTTAAATCTGCACAAGTGTTTGATTCCACTCCTTTTCACATTCTCTACTGCCACTACACCCTCATCTACTGCCACTACAAGCCTACAACTTATACAGACTACTGACTATCAAACATCAAAGTATCATGAAATTCGCTTGATATGCAGAAAGAAATCATGCATTGGTTTCTTAGTTATATGGGTTTCTCTAAAGACATGGTTAGGAAATTCATTCGGTATTTCTCTCAAAATCAGTAAAATGACACATTGTTGAGGGGGGAAATAAAGCATAGCATCAACTTAGTATCAACCAAGTTTGCTTTGTCTTGATTCTGAACAAATTTTTGATCCCACTCCCTTTTCTGATTCTCTACTGCCACAACAAACCCCATGCCATTTTACCTAACAAATGAATTAGTTGAACAGCTTCGGTGCTCCAATTAAGCATCAGCAGCATATTTTGTAAATTGTTACCATGATAATCTCTCCACTGCCAATGTAATTTTACTAAAACTTCTATTAGACAAAAAGGGTATTTTAGAAAGTACAAATAAGGAGATGAACCGACTTATGATTGGTTACAACTCTCTAGCTAACTAACGCATCTCGATTTATTCTGCTGACATAGCCTAGCTTCTTAATTCCTTCGAAAGTCCTGTTACTTAATCTATAAAATCTCTTACATTTTATTTCCTTTAAAAATTAAACAATTTAACCTATCCAAGTGCCTCTCTTTATTCCTTTCAAACTCTCCTTTTATTTCTACCTTGCGTTTGGAATTTTGATATTTTCCATGGGAATTCTTCCATAAATTATTCAGGTATTATATCATTATCATAATATCTTTATATCTTTTATTTGTGATTAAGGTAGCAAAGAGCCTAATTAAAAATGGGTGATTAATTACGTTTAGCAACACAATCAATTCCGCCATGAAAAGAGCTATGAAAGGCATATCAATTTTTTTCTTTTCACAAAATTTTCACCATGTACGAAACTATGTTATGATGATTGTTCTTCGCTTTAATGAAGTCATCCGGCGATGGTGAAATACTCTCTAAAGTAAGCCACCCAACGCAATTTAGTGACTAAATTAAGAATTCAATCCTTGGGTTTCTAATTTAATTAATCAGGTCACCTACAATTTTGCTACAAAATCTCGTACAATTAGCTTTACTAACGAGTCTAATTTCATGCAAAGTAGCACTAACCAAATTTTTCAAAAACGATAAGGAAACTTTCATAAAGTACAAATTAATTTACAAATTAATTTACAAAATATTTCCATAAAAGAAGAAGTTTACTGATTTTCGAGCCAGCACCATCCCAAAATCAAAAAAAAAAAAAAAACATGTTCATCAATTTTCCATAATTACAATAAATAAAAATAAAAAAATCAATGGGATTGCAAGAAAAATACGTGATTCAATACCTTGATCTGAGAAACACAGAAACGAAAGGAATGTGAGAGACTTCGATCGGCGATCTGCAGATTCCCTCGGGGCAGAGAGGGGTAGATTTGGGCCTGGCTTTCTGCATTCTGTCCCCTCTTTATCTTGATTTGGGCTTGTATATGGGCCGTGGACTTTTATCGAAAACTTCCATACCCTGGTAGTTTTTTTTAACACTTCGAGACCACAAAGCTCACACGTTTTTTAACTGGTATGACCCAAAGATTCCATTTTTGTTAACTTCATACCCCCCCCCACCCAAGTTTATACATATCTAACTTTAATATCTAAAAATTGGGGGTATCATAGTGTCAGAAAAAAAACTTGAAGGGTAACAATTGCAAGGTGAAAAAGGTATAAAGTTTGTGGTAACAAAAATGTTAGGAAAAAAATTTAAGCTTATCAAAGTTAACAAACCTGTAAACTTTAGGGTGCCAAATATCAAAAACTTTTGTGGTATAAAGTTAAAAAGGGGTGTAAACTTCAGAGCATCAAAAGTTCAAATAACTTTTTTTATTTTTAGAAATGGATTTTAAGGGAGAAATCATAACCAGAGGGGTATTTTGGTCATTGAGAGACCAAATCGCAATATCTCCTAGGATTTGAGGGACTGATGAGCAGTTGTTGAGCTTTGAGGGACTAATATGGAATTACTGAAGATATGAGGGACTAATATCTAAATAACCAATCAATTAAAAAGTAATATTAGAAATTTAAATATTTAAATGAAAAATGTTCTGGATTTTTAAAAAAATATTCTTTACTTATGACTCAATCGGTATTTCACATGAAAGTAATCTGATTTAAAGAGGAAGAAACTTATCTTCTGCTAATTATTTTCATTTAAATTAGATGTAATATTAATCAATATACTTCTTAATTAGCTCAACGAGCTTATAAAATGTAGGATAAAACTTCTGCTTCCCTAATTTGAGACTGAATTAGGTTCAACCCCCAAAAAAATTCATAATAATAATAATAATAATGCAATGGGTTGGATAAATAACTCGGATTTATCAAGTATAAAAATACATGTATTCCCAATTTGAAGAATTATTTTCTTTGTTTCGGACATTTTCATCCCTACTAGTTTTTCTTTTTCTTTTTTTTATAATATACAATGTCATTTTCTTCTCTCTCCTGCCCTTTATCTTATAATTCATATTGCAATAGGAGGAATTTATTCAAGGGAAAATTGTATCAATGCCTCAAATATGGGAAGCCCATGTAACGTGGCCCTATGTATTGTGGGCTATGTGATTCAGCCCCAAATATATTGTGTATTTGCGTTAAGGCCCCAAAGTTGCTGAGAGAGAGAAAAGCTCAGTTGAAGTTACTATCCCACCCTCTGATTTGACCAAACTCAGTAACTGCGCCCCCTCCCCACTCAAGTACTCTCTCTCTCTCTTTCTCTTCTTCTGTTAAGGAGCCATCGAAAATTCTCAAACTCCATTTCTGCCATCTTGAATTTCAATCTTGGGTTAGGGTTTTTGTCGTGAAAATTTCGTCGAATGAAGCATCGATTAACGATTTCGAAGTCGTTCATCGTAGTGGACGGCAAGAGAAAGATGAAGCCAAATCACAGTCGTCGGGCGCACTTTGTGAATCATCTAGGAATGGAAGGGACGGTGAATACCGTGAATCATCTGGGATTGGAAGCACGGAGGAAGCGTCAAAGTTTTGGTCATGCGAAGGGGTGAAGTACGAGGTCGAGGCCAAAAAAGAAGACCAGCAAAGGATGGTTCCAACGAATTTAAGCCCAAAAAGAAGTAAGTGCTAGGTTTTTTTCCTTCATTAAAGAACTTAACCCCTTTGCATGTTATCCAATTTAAACTGATGTTCATGTTATCTAAACTGATTTCCATGTTATCTAAAGTGAGGTTCATGTCAATTATAATTTTATGTTAAGTCCAATTTAATTCATGTTAAGTCTAATGTCAGTTCATGTTAAGTCTAATCACTACTGCAAAGGGGACTATTGGCGACGGACAAATCCGTCGCCAAAAGTCCAAAATCCGTCGCTAAAAGTTTTAGCGACGGAAAAAAAGAAATTCCGTCGCTAAAAATCCGTCACTATTGTCAGGGTAGGTAAATCCACCTTTAGCGACGGCAAATCCGTCGCTAATTTATAGCAACGGATATATAGCGACGGAAAATCCGTCGCCAAAGTATTATACTTTGGCGACGGATTTTTCGTCACTATACAATTAACCGTCGCTATATTTTTTGGCGACGGATTTTCCGTCGCCAAAATATACTTTTGGCGACCGTATTTCCGTCGCCCTATGTCCGTCGCTATATAATTTTCCGTCGCCAATATATATTGGCGACGGAAAATCCGTTGCTAAAAGTTGTTTAGTGCACATCTGGCGTGTCAGTTTTCCGTCGCTAAAAGAGCTTTTAGCGACGGAATATCCGTCGCTAAAAATAATCTGAATTTTTTTAAAAAAATTTTGAAAATAAGAAATTCATGTACAATATATTTCACAACAATAACCTGTACAATAAATTTACACAACACAAGCACATATAACACATATTTCACGCATATATAACAATTATTTCACTAAAAACATAATGAATATCCCAACATTAGAAATGTTTATACAGCACACCCATTGTTTTTAATGTTAAAACAAATAAACTCAGTCCCGATCATCATCATCCTCATCACCAACTCCACCTTGTCGAGAAGTCCCAGCCTAAAAAAATAAATAAAACGTTATAGAGCAATACGTACATCATCAAAAACTGAAAAGTAACAAATTATAAAACAACAAGGCATAATGCAAGTATAGCAATAATAGAGTATCATGGCATATTCTTACATGTTATATGATTCAGAGAGAGTATCATGGCATATATTTATGTATTATACGCAAGCACGCACATGTTTTTAACAACGCACGCACACACTCTAACCTCACCCGCACACACGCACGCACCCGTACCTATCTCCACCAACACGCACACACGCACGCACGAGTACCCAGCTCAACCCAATCCCCACACTTCCCCCTCCCCCACCACGACCAAACCCAACATCAAGCACGCACATAACGATCACGACAATACAACACATGCAACACCACAACACAACAATAACAACACCACCACCACTACAATAACAATCCCCCACCCACGAACCAACCAAACTCCTACCCCCCTCTCCCCGACCCCTTCCCCCGTCCATTCAGCGATCACCACCACCACCACGCACCACGACGAAAACACCCACCAACCCAGACAAACAGTAACAACGACCCTACGACTAGGAGATGGGAGACGAGAGGTCAAGCTCGGAGAAAGTGACAGGATGATGCCGGAACGCTAACCCCACAACAAAAAAAATAAAACCAACTAACCAAACTCACCTAGCCCAGATACAACCATCAGCTTACGCCACGGCACGGCTACCATCAACACCAATCACATAAAAAATTAAGTATATAATTTTAAGTTGTGTTTTCGGAGAGAGAATAGTTTGTGTTGTATACAGTTTGTGTGATATCATTTAGTCATGCATACTCGCTTAACTAAGTGTAAGAATTTTATATTTTAAGTTCATTTGAATAAATAAGAAATTATATATATATATTATTACCTGGATCGCCCAAAAACCTTCTCCTATATGCCTCCTGACATGCAGAAGGGCAGTACATCCTCGG